CTCTGAAAAATAAAAATATATTTTTAAAAACACGACAGCCAAAACCGGTTTGGCTCAGTGGATGGAGCGTTGGCCTGCGGACTGAAGGGTCCCGGGTTCGATTCCGGTCAAGAGCATGTACCTGGGTTGCAGGCACATCCCCAGTGGGAGATGTGCAGGAGGCAGCTGATCGATGTTTCTCTCTCATCGATGTTTCTAGCTCTCTATCTCGCTCCCTTCCTCTCTGAAAAATCAATAAAATATATTTAAAAAAAAAACACGACATATCTTTGCATGAGGGTTTTAAAAAAGGAATAACTGATTAGATCAGGGAATGGTGTGCTGCCAGAATTTTTAAAGCATGCAATACCTGACTAATCAGGGGCAATGACCTCTTTTCCTTTCCATTGTCAAATTAAAAAATGAGAACAGCCAATACAACAATAATCATCCAATGTGAATGAATCAAAATTATACCTATTTTTTGTCATGTTTTTTACATGTTTCGATGTGCTGCCGTTTTAGTAACGAGCGTATGTGTGCCATGAGATGGAAAAGGTTGACAATCGCTGGTCTAGACAGTATGAGGAAGGAAGGCTCCTAGGGAAATGTGTTCAGGAAGAGAGAAAAGTGATAGGGTTGTGTGACAGGTTTCTACCTTGAGAAAAAGGGAATGGAAAGACAGTGTATCTTTTCAATATGCTTTTATTGATTTTGTTAGAGGGAGGATAAAAACATCAATGAGAAACAGCTCCTCCTGCAGCCCCCTACTGGGGATCAGCGGGAAACCAGGCATGTGCAGTGACGGGGAGTCCAACAGTTGGCCTCCTGGCTGATGGGTCAGTGCCCAACCACTGAGCACCAGCCCGGCTGGAAAGGCATGTTACATGGGCTTCCACTGGAAGAAACGGGCCTCCTGCTTTTATTATGAGCCTTTTAATATATTAGACCTAAACATGTATGTGCACATTCCTCAGAAAGCTAACAGTTACCGAGAAATAAGCAATCAAATCAAGAATTAAGAAAATGGCAATGAAGTAAAATTTAAGAACTGACAGCAAAAATTACAGAACAGAAAACCAAAACACAAAGACATAATACAAAATCAAAAGATATGGGGGGGGGGGAGTGTCAAGCGTGGAAAAAGGAGACGTAAAACTTTAGACAGTGCATAAAAAGTAAAAAAAAAGATAAATCACAAAATATGACCCAAATCATCTTTGATTGTAGGATGAATCAATAAAAAGATGGCCTATATAAAAGGCTATAATTACAGCTGTGCTTTTTAAACATTACTAAAAAGCAATGTTTTCTAAAATTACTATGAAAATAGCATGAGCAATTTAAGCAAGCTTAAAATTTCAGATAAGATGAATAATTTCTGGCAAAACTTGTGTCCAAAATTGACTAAGAAATAAAAAACATAAATCAATTAATTACTGTAAAAACAATTGGATCAGAAGTAAAATTCTCTTAAAGATTTTCAGCCTCCCCCCAAAAAAGATTTTCAGCCCAAAACTTTAAAAATATATATATTTTTATTTACTTCAGAGAGGAAGGGAGAGAGAGAGATCAATGATGAGAGGAAATCATTGATCGGCTGCCTTCTGCACACCCCCTACTGGGGATCAGGCCTGCAACTCAGGCAGGTGCCCCTAACCAGAATCGAATTCGAGGAGCCAAACTAGCTAGGGTTCACCCCAAAACTTTTAAGGAAGACTTTTTGAGGGGGGGTGGACAGGAGTAGGCTATTTTAAAGAACAGAAGAAAAAAGTTGTGTTTCCTAAATTATTGAGAAATATTGTAAAATATTTTCAGGTCAATACAAAAGATAGTACAAAGAAGGACTGAAGTTCCACCATAATTCTGAACACCAAAAAAGTCCTAAGTAAAATATTAATACATTGACTATGGCAGTGTATTTAAGTAGTGCTATATCACATCAAGCAGGTATTAACCAAGAATACAAGAGTGGTTGAAAATTTAAAAAGTATTATTACTATATGTAATAGTATAATGAACACTCTTCTACCCATCACTCTATTTTGAGACAGACCTGGAAATGCCATTATTTGTAAGTATTTCAGAAATTATCTCTGAATAAGCACCTTTAAAATGTAACCAGGACATTATCACACCTATTTAATTAGCAATTCCTTAATATCGAGTATATAGGCAGTATTAAAACGTGTTATATCATGCTTTTAAAACGTTTTTTCAGCTTATGGCCCACATAAAGTTCATACAATTTTTCCTTATTGCTCATACAATTTAAGTCTCTTAAGGTTTGCCTTTGATAAGTATTCCTGCGATGCCGCCCAGTAACATAAAGGGATGAAGGAGGGCTCCTGGATGCAGACGTGTATCCAAGTCCAACCCCGAACCTGCCCAGCCTCCTGCAGACACTAGCAGCTCCCGGCGGCGGGGACGCCCGGTTCACCGGCGCCTGTTCCCGCCCTCCGAGGGCCTCACCTAGGCTGTCCTGGGACCGTGTCCCACCCCACACGCGCGCCGACTTCACGCCCCGCGTCGCCCCGGCTGCTTTCGGGGCAGGGCCCTCCCGGCTCGAGCAGCACTTGGCTGACCGCTCCCCGCCTCCCTTTCCTTCGCAGCCTTCCCTCCGAGTCTACGGGCTCCGTCGCGCTCAGCGCCCGCCCTACCCGGCCTCCGCGAAAAGGGTGCGGAGAGCGGCGCCCCGCATCCCGAAGCCGCCGGGAGGAGGGCGGGGCTCGGAGCGCTCTCGGGCCGGACTACGTTTCCCAGGAGCCCCCGCGCCGCCTCGCGGAGGGATTCTGGTCTCGCGTCACCGCCGCAGCTCTGGACAGAGGGACCGCTGCGCGGGACGGGAAGTGCGCGGGGCTCGCCAGGTGCGGGGGGCTTGGGACGGGCCGGCGGGAGGGCTCGTGCGGCGGGGCGGAGAGAGCGGGGAGACCGCAGGTCCGGTCCGCGTGCCGGCTCTGCCCGCCGCCTACCGAGGCCGGACTCGCAGCGAGGAACCGAGGCTGCCGGCGCGGTGACGGGGTCGCTCCCGTCGCGCCACCCGGGCTCCCCACCGGTGGACGCGGAGGTGCCGGGCAGAGGGTGACTTGTTTGGCGGGCAGCTGTTCTTACGGGAGTCCCCCTGAGTGAGTGACTTCTTCCTCTGCTGCTGCTTTTTCCCTTTTTCCCCTGGTTCTTGATTCTCGCCGCAGCGTGAACGCAAACGGCCCCGGCTTCTCGGGGAGCGACGGCGGCT